GCAGACTTGAGATGTCATCTTCATGGACTTACAGGCCATATGTAGGAGCGTTCCCATGGGCTTGCCTAAGTGAATGTTCTCACTGCATAAAATCTTACCTTGTTTTTTGATGCTCTCTTGGTAGAGTGCATCTCTCGTAGTTAACTATAACAGCAGCAGGGAACATTCCTGTTTGCAAGACCAGGGTTGCAGAACCTGCTGTACTGGCCTGTGGCACAGCACGGGCTGGTATCTGGTATTATTCTCCCCATCAACTGGTAGGGGCGACTGGGATGGTGGCACACATCAGGGACCACCTCTGACATGCTGTTGGTGTGGGGCTTTCCTGTTGTGAAGCTCTAATGGTGAGGACGTGAATTATCCCACAGCAGTTGCCTTAAGCACCTTGAAATGTTTGTGGGCATTTTTAACTTCTGTGGGAGGAAAAAAGGAAAAGCATAAACTACTGAAAACTCTGTTGTGGTTGGACATCTGAGTTGCTTAGGTGTAAAACTTTGCATGTGTTTTATTGCTTTTTTTTTTTTTTCTGGGTTTTTTCCTTGGCAAAGATCACCCCAAGCTAGAGGGCATTTAGTTTTCACTAGCTATTGCTCTTCCTCCTTCCCTCCCTAACAGTTTCTTGAATTTTAGCAGTAAAATGCTGATTTGGAAATAGGAGGAAATCAGATATATGATTCAGAAAAGCTTTTTTTCTTTATTCATAGATAGTTCTTAAGACAATGTAGCATGTTTTCTATCATCTCTCTTTAAGCTATACTAATTGAGAAGGCTGTGTTGAACAGAAAGTTCCTTTCACCCACTAATCATTTCCATACATGCTTTGGAGAAGGCATTTGAGAAACACAGCCTGGTACACAGTGATCCTTTCTTTAAGATTTTATTATCTTCAGGTAATTTGCAAGTTGGGTACCTCTTAACTTGGGTTGCACTGTGTCTGTAGGTGTAAAAAGTTACCTGTAAATCTGAGTAATCCGTTCTAAGCTTGTTTGCTAAAGTCCTGGTCTCATGTACATCCAGCTAATATTCTTGACTACTGCTAAGGTAAACTTACAGACTCTGTGTGGGACGTTCAGAGCTGCTGAGAAAAAGGGATGAGGCAGCCCTAGGGAAAAAGGATTCTGAAGTCAGGGTGTCTAGGTACAGCTCAGTATCAGCAGCAGTCCTATGACCTCGACAACTGTGATTGAAAAAAAAAATGTTTGCTTTAACAGTTAAATCCTTTGTTTCAAGCATCTCTTTGAGATTTTTTAAAGTAATTTGCTTCCTTAAATCAGTTCCCCTAAGCCAAAGTTCCAGATTCCAAGGCTAGTAGTGTTTTCTAGCATTGCTGTTTCAAAGGCTTGTATTGTACCAAGCACTAGACACAGTGAACAACTGACATTAGTTGCATAGCTCCAGCTATGCAAGAAAAATAACAATTTATTTTTCAATGGATTTTTAAGGGGGAAGGGAAGAAAGAACAGCAAAAGATACAGGTACACAATAAAGAGCATATAACATTCTTATGAAGAATTGTAAAATTTAGAGCTTATATAATAACTGTGTCAGTTCTGGAACACTTCAAACTTGGCTTTCAACCAGGCCATTTACTGTAACTGGAGGGAAAAATAATTTTGTGTGATACTACTGTATAATATCACTTATTGGAAAAGAGGTTTTTAAGTAGTTAATGTAGAGTGTTAAATGTAACATTAAGTACAGCAAGTGTTTGTGATTTCATGGAAATAGAAACCACAATTGCATGTAATGTTTGCTCTGTTTTCCTGGTGCCAGTAATTTAATGTATACTCTGTATAATCTGTCAGAGCCCACTTATGTGGGTATAAATAAATAAGGAAAAAGTTCAACTTGCTGCTTTTTAATTCTATAGGTAATTTTTTTTTTTATTACAACAACACATTCCTTTCAACCGAACTGATTCATTCGTGTGAAAATGGTTCTTACTTCACCTCTTACTAACACCACTTTATTTTGCATAGTTGTTCTGTATGCAACTATTAGAGAAAATCAGAGGTTCATACTAATATATTTTTGTGGACATCACTAAAGCAACAGTTTTACTTCGCCAAGTGACATCTTCCACATACAATTCTGTTATAATATTAAAAATACTTTGTTCCATGAAAATATTTTAATTGGGGAAGAGCTTTACTTTCAAGTGACTGCTGTTAGTTTCAAAGGGAATGGCCAGTAACTCTCTGCTTTGTATTCCTAACAGATTCTCCTTCCCCCACTGCTGCAAGAACGCTGACGCTGGTCGCCAAGTCTGTGCAGAATTTAGCAAATCTGGTTGAATTTGGAGCTAAGGTGAATATAATTTTTACACACACACAACAGCCTAGAACTGTGTTTCCGGTACATTTCAATGTTCCTGTGTAATACATGCAAAAATCTGTTGCCATTTTCTCATATAAAGCCTGACATGTGGCTGCTTTGTCCTCATCAGCTAGGAGGCCTTGTTATTTCATTTTCTCTGTCCTCTCCATTTAGAGCTAAACAGGGGTTTGTTCTGAACTAGAGCAGTAGCATAAAGCCTGGTCGAATTGGGAAGAGGAGCCATAACCATTTGAGAGAAAGTGAGCTAGAAACTCACACTGATGACTTGATACATCCCATGAAGACTTTGAATCTGGTGGTAGGAACACCGGTGATGGTCTGTGAAGATAACTGGTGAATAAATGGCCATATCAGTAGGAGTTACCAGAGTGTGATGCAACTATATATTGATGCTGTGATAAACTCAGTAGGCTTTTGATCAAAAGACAGCAGTGGAAGTATGTGGAACATTTTTTTTTTTTGGTTTGGAACAGGAAGGGTAGCAGTCATGCTCCAGTAGTTCCTGCATTAGAGGGGAGAAGTGGGAGAGGAAAGACAGGCAGCCATCCCACCACAACAGTAAAACAGGCACATCTTCTGGAATATCCATATCAAAAGAGACAACTAAAAACTGTCTGTGGAATCTGTGATGGGAAAGAATAAATAAATAGATAAAAAGATAAATATTCTGCCTTAAATAGGTGATCGGAAGTTTTTCTGCAGTTCCGCTGATTATTTCATGGCAAAGGGGAGGCATCTTTCAGTAATATTGGCATGGTTTTTCATTCTGCACACATCTTCTATCTGTATATAGTAATTAATTTTCAGAGTGAGGCTAATCAGGCCTAAATTCTCAGCTTGGTACAGATTATCCAATTTTGAAACAAATGAAGAACTGCCAGTCTCTGACTCTTCCCCCTCCCCTACCTTTACCATGTGTTACCTCTTAGATTGGTTTTTTCTGTGGTAGAGCACTTCAGAGCACCCCCTCTATTGGTACTCACTTTCCTACTGCTGGGCATAATTAATGTTGTTAATCAACTTACATATTGCACTAAAAAGCCCCAGATTTCAAGAAAGTTTCTGTTATAACACTAAGGGAATGACAGCCACAACAGGTGTTGTTTCCCAAGCCAAAATATGATTGAAAAATAAGTATGTTGACTTAAGCATAATGAAAGTGACTGCAGGCTGGCATTATAAAGTTATTTCTTTGACTCATGTAACTTGGAATGTAAGTGTTAATGGAAGAACAAGAAAGAAAATTTGTTCATTGCAGCTAGGTATCGAGAGACATTCATCTTAATGCAAATCCATGTCTTATGCATGCATAAGAAAATTTCTGAATCAGAGATTCTGAATCTTCTGAATACAAGAAGATAGTCTTCTGTCTGCACACCAGACATCACTTGAAAAAATAAAATCACTCCAGATGATATACTTTGCACTGTCATTTGTCTGACTGTGCTGTGTTCACTTCAGGTATGACAGTGATCTTGGCACTGATTTGTTCTAATGAATGCTTTTTTTACCAGGAGCCATATATGGAAGGGGTAAATCCATTCATCAAGAGCAACAAACATCGCATGATCATGTTCTTGGATGAACTTGGGGTAAGTGGTTAAAAAATCTTTACTGGAAGTTCCACAGCAACATTGTAAATGAAAATTCTTCACATTTATGAACTAGCTTAAAAATGCATCATCTCCCAGACAGTTCTGAATGCCTGTAACTGAATAAACTTTTCTTACATATGTTTAGAAACTGAACATTGCTGGCCTGTCATACAGAATTAACACCACCATAAGCTTTATTCATTTAATGCCTCTGTAGATATAAGAAGCTCAGATAGATTTTTATAGCTATGGGGATTAGAAATCTTGGCCAAAAATACAAATCTTTTAAAATATGTTTTAAAACAAAAATTCATATATATAACTTGTCATATAGTTTTGACCAGAGATTGAAATTATTTTTTGCTTTCAAAAACATTAGATTGAATTTCAGTTATGCTTCACCAAATGTATCACTGCATTCTAGATATTGTAGTTTCAGAGTGAACGGCAGTTACTGTATAACTGCATATTGAACTGTATATTAGACTGTTACTGTTTTATGTATGAGAGCAATAACAGGAGTTAGGTCCTCATGTTATATACATGTATTTTTAAACCAAGAATTCATTTTAAAAGCTCAGATTAAAAAAAAAATGTGCCAAGCTTCCTCAATTGATCCCTTAGAAGTGACCTAGAAGACATCTCTGAATATTTTGATATGATGTAAAAATGAGTGTGGCATTCTGGTAGGTTGCCATATGTCATCTTTTTCTGGTTAAATTACAACTTCTGCATAGAATATGTCACTTTTCTTTAAATGACAGATTTTGCATGAGGTCTGTAAAAACTGTTGGCTTGAAAATAGCTGTTGGATTAATCTACTGTTTTAATTACATTATTGTTTTATGACTAGTTTAATGAGTTACTTAATAGTTACAGATCTTGCTGCATTTTTGTGCTGCTGTTTTGTCATCTAGATTGGGGGACAAAAAAAAAGCCCAACAAACCAAAACACGGATAGATTCACCCTCATTTAGGGAAAGGTTATGAGTCTTTATATTTAGTAGCTTTCTGGTCAGCTCAGTGGTAGTGTAGCTGTTGCAGAGGCTCTCGAGATAAACAGAAAATAAATAAAATTTATTTTAATACAATCAGTTGGCACTCGAGCAATCATTCACAAATGACAGATTCAAATGTCCCCGAGAGGAGAAAATTATTACTGCATACACTCCTAGGGTTTAACAACAAACCAAAATGCTCAGTTATTCACCTAAAAAGTGAGGGTGCTCAACATCAAGGAATTTCTCGTGTCCCAACCCAAGGGGGGAACCTCAAGGAGTTTCCTTGGGCAGTGTCCAGAGCCAAGGGGAGAGTCCTCGACTGCTGCTGTGTGTGCTGCTCCAGAGGGAACTGGCTCAAAATGGCTCCCCAGGGGACTCCATTTATACCCGAGATGAATCTGATCTGTGGTCAGCATCAGCCCTTCTTAGCTGAGGGCCCCAATTACTGAAAACCCTGAGAACAAGGATGCAAAAGAAAGAATCAGCAGGTGCTGTGTCTCAACGGCCAGGAAGCCCTGTCTCTGTCAGGGTGGGTGCACCTGACCCACAGTCCACCCCATGACCACACTCACGATTTGGCTGGTCTCCTTGGAGAGTGGTGGCACGGTCACCTCTTGCCTCCAAGGTTAAAAGGGAGTGCAGTCCCAGTGAGCTTTAATGCTTGTTGTGGATTGTCATTCCTAAATAACTACACAAAAAAATTTTAGAAGACATACTCTACTGTTAACATGGACTTCACAACCTATACACTAATATAACATAATACAAACCGTAATAAACACAACTACAATCATTATCAAATTTGAAGGAAACTAAGGGTGCTGACAAGGAAAATTCAGACATATCCAGCCAACCAGTTAATACAGGAACAGTTGCTTTTAAGTCTCTTGCCACTTTCTTCATTTGTGAAGAAAGATTCATGAAGTAGCACTAACATATCTGGGACACAGAAGCACCTTGCTCCCTTAATAACACCAATTTCAATCACATTCTTCTAAAAGATGCCAAGTTCAAAACAAAAAATTGATTCACCACCATGCTGTCATCCAAGTCCTGATTGTCCGTGTGAGTCACCATCGCCATTGCCCGTTAGGGGTGCTGAAGCTGCCTGTTTTTCCAGGATCCTGAAACAAAGCAGAACTAGGCCTTGGATTAAAGCCTGGGCATAACGTTAAAAGTCAGAAATTATCCACTGGGCACTAATGGTGAGTTTTTTCACCTTTATCTAGGACCTTCCCGGCGTGTAAATCCCCAAGATTTTACTAAGGTTGTAGGCACAACGCCAGTCAAAGGCAACTTTATCATGACGGGTTGGCCCACACATATTTTTGAAGGGAACTGGCCCTTATTATTGTTAAATATAGGAGTGTCACCAGCCAATAAACCCACAGGGTACAATGCTGCTATCTGCATGTTCCCATAATTTCCCCTGTGGTTATTAACAATAAAAAACACTTGTGATAACCGCATGTCCCGGTTATGTTGTGAGACCTTGACTTGTCTCTTAATGAAACCAGTGGTTTGCTCTGTTATGCCATTGGACTGAGGACAGTACAGTGTATGAAATACCCACTTCATACCTTTTCCCTGTGCCGTTTTGCACCACTGTGACTGTGAAATGTGATCCATTGTCACCTTGCATACATTCAGGGATGGGCAAGGTGCTACACGATCCTTGCAGAACTCAGACTCTTTGGTCTCCAGTAGCTGTTTTAACAGCTGTAGCTGTAGTTAATCCTGACACCACCTCTGCTCCTACCAGAATGTATTTCCTCCCACGAGATGGCTTCAAAGAACCAGTATAATCAACTTCCAGGTGCTTCAGAGAGCTTTACATTGTTTGATATGCTGGGCTGGGGCTTGAATTGGATGGTTAACCTTAAGCCTCATTCAACACTGTGGGCAAGCCATAAGAACTGCTTCAGATGTCTTCATAGACATAGGCTATCCCTGGGACCAACACTCGTAATAAAGATTTGTTTTCCCTCAGTGGCATCACCTCATGTGTAGCCACTCAGCCAAATGATCCCCATCTTCTTCATCACTGTCAACTACCCTAATTTGGGCCAGAGGATCTACTTGCTGACTCCATCTCGCAGCAGGGGTCCTGTCTCTTGTATGGCCCTTTACCCACCCCACCTTCAGGCGTTGTGATCTACCTATTTCTAACAATTGTTTCCAGTCCTCAGCTCTCCAAACCTTTGTATGGCCCACTTCCACCCATCAGATGCCCACTGACTTATCCACTCTAGCACCCTTATAAGCCAGTGTAAGTCACTGATGCCATTCTCTGCTCCAACAAGGGGGCATGCAACTCTCCCACCTGTGCACTACCTTTTTCCTCCCTTACAATCATTTTACCAGTATCAGTTTCCAAGCTGCTGCTTTATATTGTCATTTTAATCCCACTCAGTGGGCAAATGCATCAGTAAACCACACTCCTCGTATGTCTGAACCTGTAGTCAGTTCGGGTGCCTCCTTGGCTGGGGAAGGTTTATAGGGCTGGCCTGACAAAATCAGATCTGGATTTACAGGCTGTTGGAGCTTGGAGATTTTGACTAACTCCCTCTAAATAAGCATACCACTTATATACTGTGGCCTTCCGGGCTACCCCTTCAGGGGGAAGTGACTCTTAAGAATCAAAAAGAAAACAGCCTTGCAGTACACTATTCTGCATGTTATGTAACCTCTCTGCTTCCTTAACTGCCCTGGTAAGTGAGAGAAGCCCCTTCTCCCACTCTGAATATCATTGTTGAGTTTCCTTAAATGAAGTGGAAGAGAACAGCGAAGATCTAGCTGGTCCCCGCAGTGCAATCTGAAGCACACCAGAATAGGAGGCATTTTTTCCAATCCCCACTCAACCCTCAGCAGGTCTTGTGAGTGTAAGGGCCCCAACCTCTCATAGATCTTGAGATCATCTTTTACAATATTCAGGGCCTCTGTATGCTGTGAAGTCCAGTCCCACTCCCTATTTTTTCAAAGCAGATCACAGTATTCACCAAAAACCCTGGTAATGCTCCCTCCAGTAACCCAGTGTACCTAGCAGCTGCTGTACTTCTGCCTTTTACCTGGAATTTGCCCCCTTTCAATAACTGATAGAGTATCATCAGGTACTGCAACTGCTCCAGCCACCCACCAAGCTCCTGAAAATGTACTTTTTTGCCCAGGACCTTGACACTTAGGGGGTGGAATATCCAGCCCATTCTTAGTTAACGGGTCCCAAATGGTTTTCAGCTTGCCCTACCTGTTCTCTAGTACCTCCACCAACCAAAATACCATCTATATGCTATTATCTATGGACACCTGACAGCACCTCTGCTGTGCCGAGAAGTTTGGCCAAAGCATTATGAGCAATAGTGGGGAGATACTTATGTCCTTGTGGGAGTCACTTAAAGGTTTACTGTGTCCTTTCCCAAGCACAAGAAAACTGAGGCTTATCCTCGTCCCTTAGGGGAATCATAAAGAACATCTCTTTAACATCTAAAGCAGCCGTCCATGGGTGAGCAGTGTTGTTGTTACTTACTGATATATTTGGGACAGAACCTGCTAAATGCGGGGTGTTATTATTCTATCTCTGATAGTCAGTCATTAGCTGCCACTGCCCATCTGATTTATGGACTGGCCAAACTGGAGAATTGTAAGGGGAGTACGTGTGACTTAGAACCTCTCTTTTCTCAGGATCGTTAATTACTTGTAAAACACTGTTTGGCAGCAGTCAGCAATGAATACGGAGAGACACAGGTTCTAGATTGCAGCAGTAAAGGAGCAACCTGCAAAATTCTTACATGAGTCACCCTGTCCCTCTGCCTCCAAAACTCCACACTCTGTCATCTGGTAAATACCATTGCTTACCTGCCAGCAGATCAGACCCCAATATATATTTCCCTTTTAAGGGCTCAAAGTCACCTCTACATCCTCTTTTTCCCTGGTAACCAAATTGCATTTGGGCTGCAGGACCTTTTTCTACCACCTCTGTCACACCTGTTACCTTTATAATCTTTCTTGATGGTGTAAGTCCTAACTCATGGGCTTGTTGTCTAAGACATTAATTTGGGCCCCTGTATCAATCAAAAATTCTAGACTTATCTGCCCAGCACCCACAGGGGTGTGTATATAGGGCTTCTTGTCAGCAGAACATTGGTAGGAATCCACCATGTGCAACGGGCAGACCAACCTCCAGGCAACAGCTTCTAGTTTTCTGACTCTAAATTCCCTTCTCAGTGTCACAGAAGTGTTAAATTCGCCTTCCTGAGGGAGTTCGGTTGCCTACATTTCCCTTTGCTGGGGGGTTTTCCCCTCCAGCATTTCCACCAACTTTGGGACGTGGTGACTGATGTGGTCGGTGGGTGTCTTGCCCATGTAACAGTACTTGGGGTACCCACAGTGCCAACAAAGATCACTCCTTCCTGGATCCTAAGGTCGATCTGGCCTGCCCCGGGACAATTCGAACTCCCAGCCAGGAGGCTGCTCCAGGTGCAGGTTTTGGCTGACTTGCCAGACCTTCTGATTTCTGTCCCCACCACCGCCTGGGTCAGTCCGTCCCATCTCACTCCCATCAGCCCCAGATCGTGTCAAGGGACTCTATGAGCCCCTTCTCACATACCACCTGAAGTGAAGGCACCTGCCTTTTGTACTCTTGCTAGTTCCAGTAATATCCAATATCCCTTCACCTGGATAGTAACAGGTTCCCCCTCTCCTTGGGGTCCACACCCCCAGCCCAGTAAGCCACTCGAGATGTTATTGACTAGTTACCTACCAGCCTGGCACTTAAAAACACTCCGGGAACCAAGAACCCTCCTACTTCATCGTCACTCAACAGGATCTGATCCCCTGCCCTGTCCACAGGCAGTTGGTTTCAGTTTTGTCTGCCTTACATGAAAACTTGGGAGTTCACTAAGCTCAGGTCCTGCCCAGGGGGTCACATGGATTGTGGTTCAGGGGTTCCCACCTTGCAGACCCATGTGCCTTTCTGTTTTGTTGAGAGGTCGCACATTTCTTTTCTTCAGTTCCTCTATTTCCTTCAAATTGCTTTCATCAGACTCTCCCCGTATGTCCCCATTCCACTCTTCAAGGTCTACATTTTCGATCTGCACAATACTAGGTTTGGGGTTTTTTTGCCTGTGCCAACATAATTTCAGTTTTTTGTTCCAATAACTGCGCTCACTCTTGTAATAATTCTTTCCTTAAACAATCAATTTGTGGTAGTTTCTTTAAATAATCTTTCTCCACCATTCCAAAGTAATCTTGCACCTGAAGCAAACAGGCCTAAGATGGAGCACATATTCCCTATACCTCTGCCATCCCAAAAAATTCCATGGCTCTGTTCCAACTTTTCCACAATTGCCACCGGCTCAAACCACTTCTCCTTCACCCATTGTACATCTTGAGGAGAAGGGACACACAACTGTGCCTCCATAATAGTTCCTCTGTCAACATCCTGCCAACTACACCAGTTAAAATGTTATGGAGGCTCTCAAGATAAACAGATGATAATTAAAATTGCGTTTATTTTAATGCAATCAATTGGCACTCGAGCAATCACTCACAAATGACAGATTCAGATGTCCCTTAGAGGAGAAAACTATTACTGCACAAACTCCTAGGATTAACAACAATCCAAAATGCTCATTCACCTAAAAAGTGAGGGTGCTCAACCTCGAGGAATTTCTTGTGTCCCAACCCAAGGCGGGAGAACCTCAAGGAGTTTCCTCGGGTGATGTCCCAAGCCAAAGGGAGAGTCCTTGACTGCAGGGGACTCCATCTGTACCTGAGCTGGATCTGATCTGTGGTCAGCATCAGCCCTTGTTGGCTGAGGGCCCAAATTACTGTAAAACCCTGAGAACAAAGGTGAGAAAAAAAAAATTTCAGTGGCCACTATATTTCAGCAGCCAAGAAGCCCTGCTGTTGTTGGGTGGGTGCACCTGCCACAAATACCACAGCCCTTCTAGCAGGCATAGAAATTGCAGTATACTCATAAAATGCATGAGGAGGAAATCCCTAATTCATAAAAGAAAGATGGATTGGAGACCTTGCTGGGAAGATAAACATTGCAGAACTTGCTTGTGGTATAAAACAATCGTGTCAGCAGAGTTGTGGACCTGCAATTTATCTCCTGGTATGCCCCCGTGTTCAGCATCCTAAATCTGCTGTCTTTTTTTTGTTGTTGTTGAAGAATGTTCCTGAGCTTCCAGACACTACAGAGCACTCTAGAACTGACCTGTCTCGTGATCTGGCGGCCTTGCACGAGATCTGTGTGGCACACTCAGCTGAACTCCGGACGCTCAGTAATGAGCGAGGTGTAATGCAGGTAAGCAAGAAGGGTTAAACAAACCACAGCACAGACAGTATGTGTCTTCAGCTACTCCTCTTTATCAGGATTCTTTCATATTTCTGGCTAGTAGAATAACTGATAAAATGTTTTAAAATAGGTGCATTTCACCGGGAGGTTATTAGCTGTAAATACTTAAGTGTGTCATTTTGTTTCTTTGTGCAGCAAAACCAGAGAGGTTTTCGTAGTTTCCAGAGGAAGTTTTAGTTTCTAGAGGAAGCCTAAACCCACAAAATTACTGTCTCCTGCCAGGCTCTCTGGGTTGTTGGTTTTAGGATCTTGTTTTTTTTCAGTTGAGAACTAAATTTACTTTCCTTAGCTTTCTATCAATGCCTCATTTCTGCTTCCTAGTTTGCCAGTGCATTTGTAAACAAACACAGCAGACTTCTAGCAAACCCCAACAGTGTGTTAAGACTTTCTGTTAAACCTCCCTGTTAAACCACAAAGCAGCAAAAATCCATGGGCAGAGAGGCAAAGTTTGTAACATTGTTTTAGACTTCCCTTTCATAGGTAATGTCTTATTGACAAGGGAATCAGATGTTTCCCTTTTTTTTTAATACATTCTAAACTACCTCACAGCAGGTCTGACAGGCTAATGCTGAAACTGCTTCTCAGGCAAGACTGTTCTGTTTCCAGCTAATGTATGGTTCTCTTTCTGCAGCATGTTCTGAAGAAGCTTTTGGCTATTACTGAACTGCTCCAACAAAAACAAAATCAGTATTCAGTGTCTAATAACATCAGGTAGCAGCACTGTACCTGAATTCTGCATGGATCCAGCATGCCCAACATGGCAACTCACACCAGTATCACTTTCTTCTTGCTCTTGCCAAAAATAGCACACCCTGTCACATTCCCAGTGATGTGTGAACTATGCAAAAAGAAAACAAAGATTCTGTTGGTGAATGATTGTACCAGCAGCTTTTTAAGCTATCTGTGCAGGACACTTGCACTTTTTTTCCACTTGGAAACAGTTTTCACAACCTCTGAGCCTTGGTGTACAGTTCACCTTCCGCAAAAATGCTGTGACTGTGTCTTGAACTCTGAAAATTATTTTCAGCACCTCTGATTGCCAAAGTTTTGCTATCTTGTTGGAAAAGAATTATCAACTGACATGAGAAGAAATGTGTTGTTTTGACAGACACATATAACTGGATAACATTTCTTACTGTAATTTCTGACTGGTTACAATAATTACGACTTTTGACTGTTTCAACCACTTTTAACTTGTATTTACAGTTTCCAGAATTTGATGTTATGGTAGGAACAATCTTTACTGTACACTTTTTATACCATGCTGTTTCTCTTGCTGGAATCATGTTGAAAGAGAATATGCAGAATGGGTCTTGTCAGCTTTATTTTTTGATGTGCCACTGATTCAGTCTGAATAGTTCGTCCATCAAAACTGTATATCCAGATAAATCACAATGCTTTTGTAAAATGTTTACAATGGCAAATTGAATTCAGTAAATTTATTGATCATTGTATCAGACATGCATGCATTCATTAAACCATTTTATAAAATATGTATTGGTTCGTCTTTTGTGCGCTGTAAGTCTAGCATAAATATTATTTTTATAAGTGAAAGTTTTTAAAATAAATCAAGCTGCAGATCAACTCTTTATGGAAACTGGATAACTTTGGCTGCTGTGGAAGTCTTTTAGTGTCTGCACACGATGTACTTCAAAATGTCCATTGCAGTGCCCCTTTTTTAGTGTGAATCCTCAGAACAGCATTACCTTGTCTGCCTTAATCTGTATGTACCTCACAGGTGAGAAAGTAGATGTTAAAACTGTTAAAAAGAATTAAAAACGCACAGTCGATTCAGAGGGTATTTCAGCGCTGCCAGCTGTCACTCTTCTAGGCAGTGACATAATGAGGACTCACCGACAGGGCTAATGAGGTAATGACAAAAACAACTTTCTTAAGGGCGTGTGCGCAGCGCAGTGGTTGTGTTTGGCAGACCAGGGTGATGCTCTTAATGCAGCCTAGGGAAGACACACTTGGTTGCTAGACCTTGGGACTGATGAATTCTTTTTAGATTGTCCCATAAAAATCACTTCTTGACCTGCCACAGTCAAGCCTTTATTGCCAAACCACTGTCCATCTGCGTCTTGGAGGAAAAAGGTAACTAAGAATCATTTTTCCTGCCCTGATTAGTTCTCTCTCTGCGTACTGTTAGGTCACACAACTCACAGTCCCAGCTGGCAACATTTTTCTGTGTAAATGCTCAGCTTACAGCTTTCAACATCACTTAAACTGTGTTCAGTCACGCTCCCTTCCATTCGGTTAGGAAGGCGGTGTGTAAATGGTGTCCAGCTTTCTGCACTGAAATGTTGGGGAAGAAAATCAGTGATGACCTAGTCAGCTGATGACCCTGGTATAGGACTTGTCACAAACAGTGGATAAAGTGGCTTATTCTGTAGAGTTAGTTGGCTAGGTGTAGGTAGCGTAATATGGTAAAAATACAAACTTTAGGACAGACTTGGCATGCAGTGATGAGAATGGAACTAGGAAACTCCCAAAGTGACATTTAGGTGCGTGTACTGTAGAGCTGTTTACGTTCTAAAACAGATGAAAAGGAAACAGACTTTTTCTCTAGGTTTGGAAGACATCAAACTGCTTCAGAAGATTTAAAAAATACTCTTCTCAGTTGCCCCAGGTTAAGTCAGTCACAACAGCCTAACATGAGACCGCAGCTGCAGAACAAGTCACAAAGGTGTGATGATTACTTTCTATATTGTAAAATGTGTTGCTGCAGCCTCCTTGGTACATTTGAGAAGAACCTTCCAAACATGCCAAGTGTTAGGGGCACAGCTGTATTCTTTTAGCTGCTCCAGTGACAAGCTCAGGAGGAGGGGAGCGTTTAATGGCACTACAATTATTTTTAAAAAGTTATATGCTTTATTGCAAAGATATTAGTGACAGAATAAATACCTCATGGCACAGTGTGAGGAACCTGTGGCAGACAGGTTCACACGTGACACCACACAGTAGTTTCTGCAGTGGTAGGATCCCATCTTCCTTCAAGGTTACACTAAATCCACAACATCATCATCAGTCCACTCTTCCTAATGGAAGGGGAGAAAGCAACACCTTGAGCAAGGTGTGAACTCAGTGTGTTTCACAGTCAAGCAGGCCAGGCCATACCCAACTTGTAGGTACGTGGTACTACTGCACGTACTGTCACAGTAACTTCCACTACAAGTTAAAAGAGAGTAACAGGAAACTTTTCACATCTCTGAACTGTGCCTGCTATCAGGAACAGATTCACTTAAATAGCAAGTTTAAACTGAATTTTAAACACAGCACTTGTCAGATGAGTGTTTCTGCCAGGACTGCTTGACTGTTTGTATCTTGCACACTCCCATTTCTGACAACCAGGCAGCGATCTCTCAGTCCTGGTTAATTTAACAAGGCTAGCTCAAACCAGAAAGAAGAATTCAGGCAAGGCCTACACAGAAGTTACTTAATGAAAGGCCTGGTTTTTAAGTTTCCTTTCAGATTCTCATGACATGCCTGACCTAAGGTCATGGCCAAGAACCACTCAAAAACTTGAAAGGGTATTTCCTTTCCTTAGAGTCTCCACCACCTGCATTTCTGCTCAGACACTCCCACTAAACCTAAGCACAGTTAAGGGAGTTTTAAGTATTCCCTGATCTACCGCAAGACTCCCAAATTAAGTTTTCATTCCAGGGTTCACTGGAAATGTTTCTTGCACACCCCTCCCAAGCAGTATTACCCAGTGTGCTCCTGTGCAGGAAATAAAACAGATAAAACTTAGGAAGTATCAAAGAGAAGACTTTATTTTTTATATTTAATTTTAGCCAAGAGTGGCTAATCCCCGAACACAGGCTTGAACAGCTCTTTGGACTAAGCTCTACTGCTTCTCGCAGTAAGCCCCAAGGCTTATCAAGACCAGCACCACCCTCGCTTGCTAAAACCAGCTACACTCCTGACAGGCAGCATTTACTACCTAACAGAGTATTCCATGAACAGAAGGAAGACTGAAAATAGTTTAACTAGTGGTGATTGAAACCTTTAACCTTAAAGCTGGTTTTCCATGCCTACTCTTGGAAGTCATGGAGACACATTCATTTTAGCAGCCCCTTTTCAGCACCTGAGGTTTAAATGCATCTTCATTATGGACAACTGTGTAGAGATTTCCACAAAAGCTCATATTGCAACCTTTTACTAATATCTTGTGCTTTTTATGGCTTCATCACTTTGCCAGCCGAGTCATCTGTGCTCAAACAGTACTCTGTGCGTTTCTTCTATTATTTGAAATTGATGAGCTCTCCATATCAGTTACGGCCTTGCTATTAACTTCAGCTGTAAACTATTAAATCATGAAACAAAATGTTAACAAATAGATTAGAACTGATTGTGCACTTGTATACTTCAGCCTACTTACTAACAGATACAAATGCCGTTAACAGCAGGTAACTAGAGGGTTAGAGAAGTCTCAAGGTTTGAGCAGTACGCACATGCTGTAAGCTTTCAAAAAGTTAAGCACAGTCTCCTTCATGTCCTGCTCAGCTCAGATCTGCTTTTGCATGTGGTAATTAACTCAGATATGAAACTACACAGACACAAACCCTTGGCATTTCAGATACTCAGTACTTTAAAATCCAGTAATTCAGGAGCTGTTAAAACAGCACAAGAACTTACCATGAAACGCTGCACACTATGTAAATTTATTCAATCCCTTTATTGCTTTGGAAGAACTGTGAATATAAATTAATAAGAAACCCAAAAAAAGAATTACCTCAAACCATAGCAGCATTACTAAAATAAGATCCCCTTGAAATTAAACCAGTGACAGGAAGAAGGAGTCTCAAGTTTAGTTGGAGCTGTTCTTTAAGTCATGTTCTCAAAGTTATGGAAGTGCTAGTTTTATGGAGTTGCCATTTCCAATATGCTTTTTAAAGGTGGCATTTGGGGTAAACACTAGTCAGTTTTTTACAGCATTAAATTATTATCATAAAATATGCCTGAGGTTGCACAATTTGTTGAAACATACTTTCAGTGCTGACTGTATTACAATATTGTTCAAATAATTTTTTAGATTCTAGTACATCATCATAGCATTAACCTACTTGGTAATTTTTAAAAGCAAGACTCGTTAAATTACAAAATGCAGGATGCGTGGAGTTTTTACGTTAGGATTCTGACAGATGACCTTCTTTAGCTGTTAGCAAGTCTTTCTAAATATCATACTCAAGTTGTCTTAGGCTATCAGGATGTACAATGTCTTCAGGATCAAGAGAAGTCCCGTTAAAAAGGATTCTTCACAAAGCTACTCCACCAGAATGTATTCTCTGCAACTTCCAGTCAATGTTACAAATGACAGCTCTGAAAGGTGTTCAGGTTAGACCTTAATTCTGTTTTCACTTGTTTGGTCGCCCTTCTCAGTCTATCTCCACCTTACTTATACTTGGTCTTATAACCTGAGGTCCTTGCTACCCATTTGTAGTTTGTGCAAGCCTGGCAAGCAAATTGGCTGACGGAGAAATTTAGTCCAGCAGAAGTTTAGTCCTGACTTCTGCTTTGTTCAAGAAGCCCAATAAATTAAATGTAAACAGTTTCAGAAACACTGGTCAGCAGAAAAATCACCACACAAAACTTCTGTGAAACAAGCCTGCTTTACACTTCAGCATATACTAATTTATTTCATCCGCATTCTGAGGACTGAGATTCCAGCTGTAGAGCCAGGATTTCTCCTGAAGTGTTCCCCTCACTGGCATCATGAAGTTTCACGTGCTGGTAGTACTAAGCTTGATGTTGTTCTACGGTTTGTCAAAAGATTTTCCAAGGAAAAGATGGCCTGTGTGCTCTTCCTCCTCCCCACAAAAGACTGGTATTTAAGGATATAAATTCTTAAATAAATCCCAAGCACAGGCTAGTATGAACTCTGGCTCATTTTTCAAAAAGAGTTGAAAAAGATTCTGTCTGAGCAACACGTAATAGAATATTAAAAGATGCAGAAGTTTGTCTCAGTAGCTGTGTCACTTTTGTCTCAGCAGTTAGAGTGGAAGTACTTGTACAATAGGTTTACTGACCTCATCCACTTTAGATTTCTTTGTGACATAATCATCATCTTCATAACCTTTCCTCTTCTTCCTAACTCCATCCGGAGAAAAAAGTTAAATGTTTAGATATTTTAGTAAGCCAAGTCTCCTTGTATGACCACAAGATTAGACTACTTGTCACAAACTACCAAAGACTTCAAGCTAGCAGTTTGCTGGAAGTTCACAGTGGGTAAAAAAGTGAAAACAGCAAAAAAAGAAAAATCAGGAAGTCCTTTGTCATCCACATGACTCTTAAGAAAACATTAACCCTTTACACAGTTCTAATCATGTGATTTTAAAGCCTTTGATTCTCATTACATGAGATATAAAGTGGCCAAGACCTTAGGAGCTATCCCCGGATTCCAGTTCTTACAAAATAATCGGTCTTACAGCTTGTACTGCAAGTAAGTACAAAAGAACATATTTACATATTACTGAAAGCACTACTCTGAGTCTTGGTTCTCAGCTTCTAGCAGACACTCACAATAGTAAGCACATGAACAGAAATCCTTGCGTGTACATTCAAATGTTCCCATTTTCAATCACTCACACAAGCTATTTCTACAGCAAAAAGGCAGAAGTTTAACACACTAAGTATTTACTTACAAGTTTGCATTAAGCGAAAGCTCCGAGCTGTGGCACTTCTCTAATTTCTGTTTTAGAGCAGCAACCTCTTCAGGCCTTGGCAGTTCATACTTCTTTATGAGATTTTTCATGCCTACAGTGGCAACAACACAGGTCTAAGCACATTACGTAATTTCTTCTCTTCCTTGTACTGGGTATGTGCGACAACTTTTTGTTAGCAGGAAGGGGCTTCTGTGAGAAGCTGCCAGAAGCTTCCCCTATGTCCGACAGAGCCAACACCAGCTGGATGCCAGACAGACCCACCAATGGCCAAGGTGACAGAGGTAGCACCTCTGGGATAACATATTTAAGAAGGGGGCAAAAAACATGCACAAGAGCAGGTGAAGGGAGGAGTGAGAACATGTGAGAGAAACAACCCTGCAGACCCCAAGGGCACTGAAGCAGGAGGGGGAGGAGGTGTTCCATTCCCCTGCCATGGCAAAGCATCTGTGCCCTGCACCCAGGGAGGTCCATGGTGGAGCAGAATCCACCTGCAGCCTGTGGAGGACCCCACGCCAGGGCAGGGGGCTGTGCCCGTAGGAGGCTGTGACCTCGTGGGAAGCCCACGCTGGAGCAGGCTCCTGCCAGGACAGGAGCCTACGACACTGGGGAGGAGGAGGAGGAGGAGGAGGAGGTAGAGAAATCAAAAGCAAAGCTGAGCCTGGGAAGAAGGGAGGTAGCGGGGGAAAGTGTTTTAAGATTTGGTTGTGTTTCTCATTAATCTAATCTGATTTGACTAATTACAAATTAAACTAATTTCCTCAAGTCAAGTCTGTTTCACTCGTGACGGTAACTGGTGAGTGATCCCTCCCTGTCCTGATCTCGACTCATGAGCCTTTCCTGCTATTTTCTGTGCCCTGTCCAGCTAAGGAGGGGAGTGATGGAGCAGTTCTGGGGGGCACCTGGCATCCAGCCAGGGTCAGCCCACCACACTCAGGAATTACACAAGCTCATCGATCAGTAGTATGGCTACTGTTACTGCTTATCCCTCACAGTTAAGCTTGAGCCAACAGTTCTCTCTCCATTTCCTCTAACATGAGAAACAGGGTACATTTTCAAGCAGCTTCTACCAGGGAAAAAAAACCAAACAACCTACACCAAAAATATCAGAATGGTACACAGAGGAGAGAATAGAATCTAAGAAGTCCACACCTCTTAAGGTTTTGAAAGTGTCATATCTAGTTTTCAGACTCAAAAGACACTACAAGGCAACACACAACATATTGCTGAGACAGAAAGCTTACTGAGTAAAATCCCTGTGTCTACTTAAAGCAAGTATTAGACATTCAAAGGATGAACTCCTCCCAAACTGTGCTTACAAAACTTCCTGTCCCACATAGCACCAAACTTCAGAGGATCAAAGATTATGTATGTAAGGCTTGACTGTTATCTTCCATCCAAGGATTCATTCTGAATAATATCAAGGTACAGCTGAAGCTGAGCACAAAGAACTACTTTGAAACAAGCTGTCAGCATCACCAGTTCTGGGTTTCCTCAAAGTAAATAACTTAAGAGTTCATATTACTCTCCTAACAAGCTTCAAAATACACAAGTATTTTTTACATTCAGCTTTGTACCTCAATCTTAAAAAGCTCCTAGAAGATTGACTGCAGTCTCGTTAAGAATGCAAATTAAATTTACAGCTACCTTGCAAGAATCAAGATTTTTTTCCTCTACCATCAGTTCTACATAACCAGTCATTTACAGATGCTTCAAAATTTCCTTCCAGCCATCATATGTTCACAAAACTACCACCTTTGGGCTAAAGCTACCTTCCAGAATAATGCAAGCAAAGAGTAAGTGATCCCAGCATTTCCTCTCATCTCAGCAATGGAAACCTGAACACTATATTTGTTTGCAGGGAGAGAAAGGGAAGAGCATCCCAAGTTTTATAAATCCAATTTAAATTGAATTTGTAGACCCCAATGACTTGTATGGTGCATTCACCACTAAGGTCAGCTTAGTCAAAGGACTCTATTTTTAATGCTACCACTCTCCCATTTCAAACACATGAATTAGCTTAAAGCATTAAATAACTGATTACTTACTGGAAATTGGATATCCCAGCCTTTTCAATTAACTAAAACCCAGTAATAATCAGTGGACTACACTCCCCTTAACTAAACTGCGATAGCATTCTTGGTATTTTATATCAAACATCTTCTGAAACATCTTTATGGATGCAAAACAGAAGTGAAGTATAAATTCTGTCATGTAACTTAACGTTAAATGTATATCTTAGAAAATGTACCCTCTGGTGGTAGAAGTAGTTATGTGCAGGCTTTTGCCCAAAACTGCAATTTTTAAGACACAGTGACTGAAGAGTCATTTCATCCTGACTTGTAAAAAATATTATTTAATTCCTAAAACATATTTCTCACTTTTGAGTCAGCTGCTAGCACTAAACTGACTATAGCACTTCTGAGAAGCATCAGGCCCTTTGCCTTTTAATCTCATTGGAAAGGCTCAGTGTTTTACAACCCTTGCATCCACATCATTCTACTTGCCTTGTGCATGCCCTGAGATGCAGAAGCCACCCAAAGCACACCTTCTCTGCTTCAAGATTTTGTTGTTTGTAAAAAGACTGTTTTCCTCCTTTAGAGATTCTTTTTATATTTTTCCAGTGTTTACTTACATTTCATGTCATCCAGTAGCTTGGCTAAGGATGTTCTGTTTTCTTTCAGTATAAGATTTTCCGATAAGTAACTGCAAAGAGATATGGAAAAGTAAGTTCTTAAGTGTTGTAATTATTTATTTACCATTAGTTAACAAAGTGTGTGTTACTTATTATTTACATCTGCTACAGCTTTATGATTAGTAGAAACACTTTGATTACATAAATACTACAAAGTGATAAAAAAGCTAATCTGTCACTTGCAACCTTCTTCTGGAAGAACATGACATAAGTATCCCCTGGCCACATAAAGAACCAAAGTTCCAACGCCGCAGAATTAAATATTTGTAAGTGAGCCTCGCTGACTTAAGTCAACTTACATTTAAGGTTCTCTCAAGTATCACACTAACATCACACAGTATGACGGCTGAAAAAGCAAGTACTAGAAAAGAGCAGTTGTCAGAGAGGCCAATGGGCAGCAAGGCTTGCAAGACAGGACTGGGTTTTTTTGGCAGCTGAAAGCAAATCCTAAATGCTGCCTGGTACGAGTCTGCGGGTCCCTTCCTCTACCCTCAGCAATTCAAACTTCCTTATAGTAAGAACACACCCACCACCTGGTTAATACCTGAACACCTGTGAGCACCAACTGTCACCAAGACACACAACCACCTAGTGGTATTTACTCCTTCCCAGGAAGCACGCTTGTGGATAAATTACAAAAGTCCAAAGACTCCAAAGTGTCTCAATCTGTCCAGGCTGCGTTAGTGTCACACTGAACTCACAGACATACACAGCTCTATGAACTGCAACTGCCAGGCTGAGGCACAGTCACCATGAAGATGATGGTAATTACTACAAGCTGACTGGCAACATCGCGGCACTTGTTCAGCTCAAATTTAAGAGCATTATTTAACTTCGTGTTGATATCCAAACTGAAGATTAATTTGGAGCCACCTATTCGCCTGAGCACAGCGGCATATGTTTCTTCCTGAAGCTCTTTTCAAGACTGACCTATACACTGACATCGTGGTAGCAACAGGTTTTCAAACCTTCCGTGTTCTGTCCCACCTCTGCAGTCAGACCTACTCACAGGTCCACAAAATCCAAGCTGCAGCACTTGCCTCTCCCACATCCAGCAGCTCAAACTCACACAAAACAATAAGTGATAAGGTTATAGCAACTCTATGTTGCAGACAAGTGACAAAGACTTGAGTTCTTGATGAATATGCAAAGATAAAAGTTCATACCCCTTTGCTTCACACACCACCTGCAAACCTCTTCCTATTTTTGTAAGCAAGCTTTTCTGAATTTCAGCACAAGAGTACAGAATACGGATCTGGGAATGAGATCAACAAGTTATCGTAAGCACCTGAATGTTTTTACCCTCTTTTGTGAGGACAGTGAACTCCGTAGAGGATACTGTCTCGAAATATGAGCTTCATTTTGATCAGGTGGAAGGAAAGCTTCTTTAAAAAGACATTTGATAATGCCATTGCAAACACCAGGGGATGAACCACAAAAAGCAAAGAAGGGACTGACTTACAACAGCACCTTATCAACTGAAGTCGTACCAGCCAAATACAGCACTTAGTTTCCACATGCCTAGCGGCTGTCAGTTCACTGTTATTTCATTTGAATCTGTAACCTTAAAAATCTTACTTTAAGTGATTCTTTAGGTGCTTCACACTCTCAGTATCTACTGTATTTCCACTTTCTTCACTCTAATCTTAAAGATAAGTTGGAAAATCCTGTTCTAATTAGGACAGTCATCAGTTTATTTTTTTTTTCCTTCTTCCAAAGAAATATAAAAACTCGACATCAAAAAGTAGTTGATAAATGCAATTAGTTGAAAATGGAAATTAAAAAAAAGTTCCACTTGTTCTGAAACTTAAAGAACATACCAGTGTTTATCAGTAATATACATTTCCACTAGTTAAGAACATCCAGAGAAAAAAAAAGTACACAACAAGCAAAATAACTATAGCAAAAAATAAAACATTACCTTTCCATATTAATTCCTGCTCTTGAACCACTAGATAATATGGCAGTGAGAGCTATCTGTGAGGGAGTAAAGAGAAGATACGCATCTGTCAGAGCCACCCGATTGAGGAAGTCATCAGCTGTTTTCCTCAGAACTTCAGGATTCTCCAGCCTTGGATAGCGAGTCTAAAAAGTAAGTATTTAAGATAAATTAAGTAGCTGTTCCTCATCTTCTAGTTCATGAGCTCAGAACACACAAATCAACAATATTCTGTAAAGATTCTGTAATTCTTCTTATTCCGAAAATAATCTAAAGAATCTAATTAAAGACCACAACTAAAACTTCCTGCAGATATTTGCCTGTCACTTTAGGAACTAGAATCAAGATCACTGGCACAAAAAGAAATAAAATTTTCCAATATAACATACGACAGATTTGTATTATGTTAATATACGGAGTATGTGGCATATAAAACAATACTACCTTTAAATCGATTAGAAAACCCTCAAATGGCCTGTATGGGTTGTGGACTATAAGATGGAAGTTCAGTTGCTGAATAAGGAGCAGTTCATATTCCAGTATTTGTTCAAGAGCTTTTTCCTGTCCAAGGGGACTTTCTCGAAGGTTACCAACAAACTGTGCACTGGACACGTTAAATTCATCTACTTTACAGGCCAAAAATGCACATGTTAGCCTGGAGGACGGAAAAAAGCAAAAAATTGACATGCAGCATCCATCTTTTATCAAGAGAGAAAATTTATAATTTTCAAAACACCACGTTCTGAACACAACAAACTTTTCCAAATGGAAACTGAAAGCGACCATACTTTTGTCTTTACCCATATTTAAGCTCTCAGATTTTCCTTCTCATTTTTTCAGGTCTTTACTTTGCTTGATAGAATAACTCAAGATTCATTGATAACTCACATTATTATCCGAGGATGATACTCCATCACCGAGTTATTGAGGTAGAAGCGTTTAAAATACATACAAGCTGTTCCCTGAAATAAAATAAAAAAAAAAAAAAAGAGGAAGGAAAACTAAGTAGAGAGCAAAAACCGATTACAGAAGAAGAAAAATAATCAAATCATGCGGGACACACTACAGCACCATGATGCACATAATGCCATGTCACTAAATATTTCAAAGTCTAATAACATTTATGCCTGCAGGAGCCTTATAAAATGGCAGCTTGGTTATATTTTCCTCCATTTTGAGGCATATTTAGCAAGACAATGCTCAAAAAGCCAATATCTTCACGAGAAAAATCTGACATTTAAATTAAATTTAAAACCAAAGACTGAAAAAATTAGCCTGAAAATATGAGTAATCCCAGCCACGACATCTGACTTCTCGGATCTGTCAGTTTTCCAACACGTTTAACACTGATGCTTCTCTGTGTGCCTGGGAGTACTACAGACAATGCCAGATTTACAAGCTGATCTGAACGCCGTTTTTCCAAACCCACTACCTGGTGAGCCTGATCCAGCACACACACTCTACAGAGGCCACTTCTGAAATTAAGGTCTGGCTCCAGAGAGCATGTAATGGCTGCCTACTGCTACATTTCACACACATCTTCAGACAAGACACTCTTCATCTTTGTTACTCTCCATACCTGCCAGAGACAGGGAGGACTGACAGTGGGACAATACAGGTTGTACATCTTAATGACAATGAAAGCACAATTTCATTCCCTGCTTCAGCTGTAAGACCTCACTCGCTTCTGAAATGTGCTCTTCTTCGTTCAAGGTAAGTCGGATCAAAGACTTTTTTTTTCTTTTTTTCCTCTGTAGTCAGTTCACTGCCAGCATGGATGCTTAAACCAGCTTGCTTTGTGCGCAGACATGCATCAGTGCTTGAGACACACCTAGATGACAGGCCAACGTTGGGACTGCCTCCTCTAGCTAGTGGGGCATTTTATTGTATTATCGATCCTTATATCGTTAGGTTTGTTTCTACTTGCTTCCTTGCTTTACTTTGCTTAAGGGAGAGGAAAGAAAGCCGTTAAATCAAACATGCATGCGTAACGACCGCATGAAACGGATGCAGTTGAGAAATAACTTTTTTTTTTTAAATGGCTGCGCTATCCAGAAAAAAAGGAGAAAATAAAAAGCGGTCTGAAGCACAGACGGCAGCATCGGAGGACAAAAAAAAGTAAAAAATACATCCGTGCTCTCCAAAACAAGCCAAGCAAGGGAGTGAACAAGAGGCAGAGAGGGGGCAAAGCCTGCAGGCACGGGTAGCCCTCAGAACGCCGCCCAAGCTACCCGAGCTGGCACTGCGGCTTACCACCACAGATCTCGGCATAGCCGGCTTGAAAACAGCACAGAAGTCCAGCAGCCGCTTTTCGTAGTACTTGCATATCGCCAGCTCCTCGTGGGGCTCCAAGAGAACCTGATCGCTCTGCTGGACCTTGAGGGGGGACAAAGACGAGCCCGGCTCAGGTGCTGCGTTCCGGTACACCCGCCCGCTGCTACCTTCTCCCCCCCCGCCCCTGCCCCTGCCCCGCACCTTCCCACTCGCCACCGCCTTCTCGAGAAACTTGCGGTTGGCCTCGGCCCGGCGCTGCGCCAGATCCTCCTCGCTGCGGAAAGTCCAGTGGCGCCACTGCGTGCTGCTGTAGTACATGCTGCCGGGGCGAGAGGTGATGGCGGCGGCGACACACGCTCCCTTGCCGGGCGCGCTTTACGGCAGCGTGAGTTAATTGGCGGGCGCGGGGCATGCCGGGAGCTGTAGTTTGGCGGGAAGGGAGGCGCCGCTCTACGGGCGGGCAGCCGGGGCTGAGGGAGAGCGGGGTCGCTGCAGACAGCTTGTGAGGGGCGGCGGGAGGGAACGAGTCCCCCGGGAGGGCGCGGGAAAGGCCCCGCGGGCAGGGGAGGTCTGGAGCAGGTCAGGGGGAGACACTTCTCCTTGGAGCTGGGGCGCTGCGCTTAGCTGATAGCCACCAACAAAACCACCCCTGGCCTGCCACTGGGGCCTTTCATGGTGTAAAAAACTAGTTTGTACGGGTGGGGGGACTGGGATCGGGCCCAGAAGGAGCCCATGGTGGAATACATGGCGGTGTAGAAAACCCTGAAAATGATCAATACTCTTTTTTTCTTTTTTTTTTTTTTTTCCTAGTGAAAATGCTGTAGCAAGACAGCACGTTGACGGCATGAAAGCTATGCACGGTGTAGAGCCTGAAGACAAGACAGTGCAATTGCTCACCACCTGCTGACTGCTGCCTGGACAGTTCCTGAGCCATGATCAGCCCCTTCTGGCCAGCTCACCCCTGTTTCTATACTGGGCATGACATGTCCTATGGCATGGAATATCCCTTTGGCTAGTTTGGGTCATCTGTCCTGGCCATGCTCCCTCCCAGATTCTTGTGCACCTCCTCGCTGGTGGAGCATGGGAAATTGATTCTTAGGATAAGGGCTATTTAGCCACAACTAAACAATCGGCATGTATCAACCTTATTCTCACACTAAATAAAAAACATAGCACTGTACCAGCTACTAGGAAGAAAATTAACTCTATCCCAGCTGGAAGCAGAACAATATCCACCCCTTATTCTATACTATTTATGTCATGCCCAGGTCCCACACTTTTTAGTACATCCCAATTAATTACCACTCCTGTATTGTTTCCTAACATATACACACAGATATTCCCGCGTGGGCCATCCCTATAAAATGTCTGTTGAGTTCATTCAGTCCATGCCTTTGAGCTCCATCTGTCACAACAGCAATTCTGGGCAGGAGGAGTGGTGTGAAGTCGCTAAGTCAGCAGAGTAGTCTGGGGCTTTGGTGCGGTGCAGCAGGTGGGGGACGTTGGGCGCAGCAGGAGAATGGTGTCTAGTGTTGGATCATTGCCTGCTGAAGTCAGTTCTGCTTCCATCACTACTTCAGTTCGCTTGGGTTTATCAGAGTTCATTCTTCATTAATCTGGGTGATTCTTGTAATATCATTGGTAGAGCATATGACAATTAATAGCAATGATGACATGGAGTGGCAGGTTTATATAGCAATTAACATCAGGCAGTTTAACTCATTGGCTATTCTCACCTAAAATCAGAGGCATGCATCGGATTTCCCCATACTTTCACATCACCCTCCAAGTGCAACCAGGTCCTTGAGCAAAAGCAATCCCATGAATGGCTTTGCCTTTGCCTGAGGCAGGAATAACCCACGCTGTCTTCATCAGCATATTTTTAATGTGCACTGCAGGAACTTTACTCCATTCTACAATATGTAAAAGTTCTGACTGGGCAGGGCCAGCTTGACTGATGGATCCTCTGGTGTTAACTAACCAGGTGGCTTTGCCTAAATGTTTGAAGTGTTTGAAGGTCCCACCCCGCACTGCTCTCAGTGTAGCCTTCAGCACTCCATTGTATTGTTTGATTTTTCCCAGAGGCTGGTGCTCGATAAGGGATAAGGCGTGTGATATACACCCACCCAATGCCCTGTTCCTTGGCCCAGGTATCTATGAGGTTGTTTCAGAAATGAGTCCCCTTGTCTGACTAAGTTCTGTCTGGGTGTCATGGTTTATGCCCAGAGGGAAGAGGTAGAGATATTGGGAGCAAATCTGAGCCCAGAAAGAAGGGAGGAGTGAGGACAAGGTGTTTTTAAGATATAATGCTTCTCACTGTCCCACACTGTCTGTTTAGTGTTGCTGTTAGTGTTTGATGTTCTTTTTATTCCCTTAATGAGTCTGTCTTTTGTCCATAATGGGTGGATCATCCCTCACTGCCCTTATCTTCATTCCTGAGCTTTTGGTCTATGTTGTTCATCCTTAGGATTCCTGAGGGGGAAGGGGTGAGTGGATGCCTGCGTGGTGCCCTCTGGGCTCAAGCCATGACACTTGTCACCACAAGACTTGCTTTTCAAGGCTCAGGGTAGTGTTCCAGGTGGTGGCATTGAGCACGGGATATACTTCCAACCGTGCGAGGTTGCTTCCATCCTTGTAAGTACATGGTGCTTGCCTTGGTGGGTTTGTGGGAGTGTGGTATAGTTATCTCTAAAAGGAAAATGATGATGACAGAGAACTTGCACAGCTGAAGACCTTTTTATTCTCACAGTAATGTGTTGCTTTTTTCTCTGAAGGAAAACAAACCTTATAATTCACAAGAATCCATCATTTATCAATCTGCTGATAGGTATATTATTTTTGATAAATTAAATATAAACCCCTATTGAATTTATTCTCCTTCTGTATTACTTTTAAAGTAATAAATACTTCTGAAAGGTGAGCAATGTCATCAAATCTAATAAGAAAAGATTTGGAGATCAGTTTATGCTTGGAGAAGCCCCTCTGAACCCATTATTCCTTGAGTGCTTTTGGATCTTATCTTCAAGATTCATCTTTCGGGAATACTTTTCAGCTTATTATGTACTGTGTTTCAATTAACCAGCTGTAAGTTGTTTACTCAACTAGAAATTACAAGCACAGAGCAAATACAGGTCTCCAAGTTATGCCTCTTAAAGTTCTTTTTCTTTTAAGAAAAATAATGCATTGCTATTCGGGGATGTGTCCAGGGATATGTTTCAGTTTATTTTTCCTCCCATCACGCAGTGAGTTCAATAATTAAAGCAGAGAAACTGCAACCAATTGATTTTCTTTCTCTCACATCTTCCTGTTGTAAATCTGTAAATTTAAGCTGATGACATGCAGACCTTTCTGTTAGCTATACAAACCAATCAAGGTAGAGTAGTTTAGTTACCTAGGTATTTTCTAAATGTCCATATTGTAGGATGATTAGACAGATCAAGAAAAGCAAACAGGGAGGCAGGAACCCTAACCAGTACATCCTAATTCTTCCTTTTAAAATGTTGCTCAGCCATTGCACATATGTAAAACATCACTGGCAAGCAGAACAGGACCAGTCCTTGTGATCATGGGTGACTATAAAACTATGCCACAAAAATACTTAGTCTCTGAGTGCTGGGAACATCTTCTCTGTCCATGGCTGTCATTTACTGCTCACAACATCCCATCAAGAACAGTTATTTTATTAGCCAAAATACTGTGTCGTCTGTGTGCAGTGCATACTAACAGCACCTAGTGACAAAATGTCTAAATGTAGCCTGGCAGGCATCTGCCTGTGCCGCTGTGGAGGTCAGAGATATATGACTTCTGTCTTCTTCTGTAGATCCTATGGAATATTGTTACAAAGACTACCTAAAATCTATGATTATAACTGACTTCCATGACCTGTGCATATCCCTCCATGCAGCAATTCTGATTCTTACAATGTCTTGTTATATTAATTTTTCCTTTTAAGCTGTAAAGGTTCTTTAGCATTTTTTTAATAAAGAAAAAATAGATACATTTTAAAGAGTATTTTACACATTATGCAACAGCTTTTAGCTGATGATTTCAGAATGCCTCTCAAAAAATTATTTATGGTTCCTTTGCAGCCCTGAGCCATATCCTGGGAACTTTATGGCTGCCTGTCATAAAGCTCATTAGTAAGTTTCTCCATCTCAAAATTGGTAGATTGTTTGGACCCAGTATTCTGTGTAGAAAGTTGTCATAGAATATACTGTGCTAGAAGTCATTAATATACTTTTCAGTCTACATGTATTCATGGCCACGTTAAGCACGTTGGGTTTTGTAGAGCACAGCTCATTAGCTTAAGCATATCTTCTCCCTCACCCTTAGCCCACAGTTTATCAGGCTCAACATTTTTAATGTCCCGTTAGACATACTTTCTATTTCTCAGGTCACACAAATATACTTTCTCTTCCCTGAGTCCAGTTCAAATTTCCTTTGATTGGAACTGCATGTCCTGGTAAAATTCTTATCATTGCCCTGGTAATGGCATTAACACTTCCATGTCTGTGATAGAAGTTTTTCTGATACATATTTAGATTTTGCTGTTCTTGGTTGTGGTGGTGGTGTTTGGGGTTTTTTGTTGTTGTGACTTCATTATATCACAGTTATCCTATGATCAACACGGGGTTCAAGTGTTGTTTTTGGACTCTGCTTTTGCTCCTTGTCATTTTTGGCATGGACTCAAAATGCCTAGTGCAAATTCTGATTAACAGCCAAATACATGATTTTGTATTTCAAGTTATTAAATGTCACCCTTCGTCTCCTATTCTCTCTCCCAGGGTTACCTGGTTATTCCTGTATGATGTTCTGACCCTCTTCAACCTCAACGATGCAATGTCAGCCAGCTGAGGTGCTAGGTTAAGAAGCTTCATTTTCTCAAACAAATCATGTTCTTCAAGAGATGTTACATGTAAGGTGGAATCCCACTCTGGACCATCTTTTTTAAAATCCTCTCTGATTCCCTCCATTGTCTATGGAGGGATGTTAAGTTGTTGTGATTCCTGTGCCGAATTATGTGAATATTCCTCTTCATGCTCGAAACCTGTGTTCTTAGCTAATGTGCTTGACATGCTGTGGTTTTTTTTGGTGACAAGATCACTAATGGAAATATTAGAAAAGATTAGTCCAAAGGAACTCTGCTAATAAATTCCTTTCTGACACCTTTTTGTTACTAATCTATTTTTCATTAACTATCTTGGTATTTATCATCATCCTTTTCATTGTAAGTTTCTGTTTGATATCATATCAAATGCTTTCCTGAGAAAGAGTTGCTTCACTGGGATCCATAATGAAATGAGATCCACTGCAATTCCTTTGTCTGAGTAACTGATTAGTAAGGAAAGAGGTTAGTTCACCATAATATATATTA